TAAAACAGCCTAATTACGTAGCTGTAAATGTCTCCGACCACCATCGCGCCGATAAATAAATCCCCCGTCTTATAATTAAATGCCATAAACGGAATACAAATTAAATCATTTGTACTCTTGCGTCGTGTTTGTATTATAAAAAAGTGTACAGTCAACATCAGAAGTAGATTTATTTATTTATTTAAGGGCAGCCAGTGGTAGATACAATAAATATAGGGAATAACGAAGACTTTAAATACATTTAATTCTTATAATTTTAGATGAGATGTTCAGGTCCAAATATAAGTATCCATTTAATGTTACTATCATACGTGATATAACAAGGTGTTCAGGTATTTATGGGTATACATCTCATCTATTTAATATATTTCATACAATAAATATTGTAAATATAAATGTTTTTTATGTCACGGAGAGTTGGTGACATACACCAACTCGACATAAAAAATGAAATTAATTAAGAACAGGCCCTTGTCGCCTCTTCTAACAAAACAAGGAATAAATACTAATACATGAAGAGGATGTATGGTTACAACCTTTGCCTGCAAAAATAAATAAGTAAGGTAAATAAATAAATAAATAAGAGCGAAAACCATTGACTTACAATTATATGGACGTCGGGTCCGCGCTAAAAAGTGTCCGAACTTATAGGGCGTTAAAATCGTATATAGAGCGTCATTCACGCTTTAGTCTTCGTTTGTTTCTTCTGACAGCGAAGCAAGCAAAATTAGACAGTACTGCGATGACAGTACAATTTAAATTCAACGTTTTAGCTTTTTCATATTCCTTTACATGTCACTACGTTTAAATAGGTTGACTTGGGACATTTTTTCCGTGGTTTTTGTATTAGACCCGCGATCGTCGTCGTCGTCGTCCATTTATTTGTAAGTCAATGGCGAAAACTTAAAAAAAATTAATATGATTTTTATTTAAGGAGATTTCAAAACGGCCACCGTAAATGTATAACGACCGAAAAAATGTCAGAAAATTAAACTATTGAAGAAAAATTACAATTAAGCAGTATGGCCTATTAGACCAGCACCCTAAACCTTCTAAACTAGAACGCCATGGTGCTCACATTACTGCTTGGCGGCAGAAATAGGTAAGGTGGCACTACTTCCCTGGACGAACTCTTTCACAAGGAGCTCTACCGCTACGCTTTACCCAATTTTAGTTCTTTGTTGACTATTTAGCACCATTAAGGATCTCTCTACGGAATTCGCCCCTAACTTCGCGCATTACTTGTTGTATTTGACTATCTTAGTACCATCGCCCTGTGGTATTCACGCCTAACTTCATATTACCACCTGAACGAAAGTCATAAAAGACCCGTGGTAAGGGCGAGCTGCTCAGTCTTGATCCGATAGTGAACTTAGAGAATAATAGTGAGTTTAACCTCAATAAAAGCGGAGTGAAATCGAAGTTGGATTTTATTTACCGGTAACATACCTACATGCCTACATAGTGATTCGAACCGTCGGGATCCTTCCATCGGGCTACAACCGCATTGTAACCAAGTATATGTTAAACATACTCGTAAGAAGAAAACGGAACAGACAAACTCATATTTGCGATCATAATATTGGTAAAGTAAACAATTCAACTATGCTACGTCGACTGAAGGACACTTTGTAAAGGGCTCATAAAGTGAGCTAATCTTAAATAGTAAGAGTCAACTATTCAAATGACAAGTTTGTTGTGACTCCGTGAATTCCGTAGATACGATACAGTTGCAAACGCTTTCGAGCACTGTTATTCGTTCCGAATCCAGAAATCAAATAAACAAATCTAGAAAATTCAGACCCATTTCGAATGTCGCTTGTGCACTACGTCCCATTCGAGTCCAAGAAAATACGAATATCGCTTGTACACCTAGAGATAAAATGATCCCTGTGACATTTCTAGGATTCGGAACTGATACAATTCGGACGTAGTGTACAAACGCTCTTATTTATTTAATTTTATTATCTACTGTCGTAGATAATAAAATTTTACTTGTATAAAACAAATTGACACTCGAGTGTTCAAATGCTATTATTTGTTCTAGTATAGCACGATGTCTACGGTTAGTGGGTGTGTTTATTGCAAAATACAAACGCATTGGTCTTTAGTGCTTGCTTAATTTTCTGACATTGTAACCATAAGACAAGTATGGTAACTCCGTACAAACGTAGCGGCGCGCTTGTATGTGTGCACGCCCGTCGCGTGCCGTATACGGATGCACACATTCACTTAATGTCGCAGAGCACTCGCGTTGCGTTGCGCGGGTCGTCGCAATCGCCATTCATTATAGAATTAAAGCGTTCGCTTGGTTTTTAATAAATGACAACAAATAGTAACGTGTTCGTTGATGTGTTTGAGGTTGTTTAAACAAGAGTGCTTCAAATTCAAGATTGTTCAGCATTTAATTTCTATTTTACAATCGTACTCTGTAATTAAGATGCCAATACGCGACCATGGTATAAAAATATCAATATAGATGTAATTACAAGTATCTACTGCATTTAATACATAGCATGAGAGTACTGTCATTAACAACTTATATTTTTCAAATTATGTTTACAACCTTCAGGTACAACTAAAATAATACAACTGCCTTCGTGGCCGAACGGTTTCTATGCTGGTTTACCGCGCAGAAGTCTCGGGTTCGATTCCCAGGCCGGCAGAAATATTTGTATGGCCTACAATTGTTTCTCTCGGGAGTTTGGGTGTAATTTGTTGTTGTCTATGTATGTGTCCATGGCACCCGCGATACAAGGGGCTATGAGATGTGAGCGTTATTATACTTATTAATAATGTGACCACCCTACGCTCCTAGTGAAGTGTAAGGCTTTTATACGCTGAACAGGCGGGAGTTGCTCTTGTTATAACTGCGAAGTTTTATTATTTTCTTGTTTTTTTTTTATTTTTTTTTATAATATCGAGTGATGGGACGGACAAATCGTGAACGCTTGTCCATAACAGTTGCAGTGCCGCTCAGAGCTTTAAATCTCAAAGATCTGAGGGGCACTGCCACAACCCTCGTCATCCTGAGACTTAAGTTGCCTCCCATGTGCCTGTAATTTCACCAGCACACTTACCCTTCCAAACCGGAACGTAGTAATGCTGACATTACTACTTAGCGGCAGAAATAGATAAGATGGCAGTACTTCTCTGGACAAACTATTTCACGAGGAGCTCTATTGCTACTAAATAGAAAAGCCGTAGATAAAAGTAATGAGTGAAAAATTATTCGAGTACCTGGTCGGCTTCTACATCTTCTGTTGACTGTACAAATCTAAACTATATTAATCGTAAATCCCCTTAATACGTAACCACGAGATGTCGTGCGGCTTTAATGTCAGATTTGGTTACGCCGACTAATACAGTGATTTGTAAAATTAAATTTTGAATAGCTATTTAGCCTCTATAATTAAGTGTTTAAGGTGCAAAATTAGAAATGCTTAACCGTTGACAGTGGTAAAGATAAATTGGTGTATTTAACTTGAAGCTGACATGTTTATTATTATAGACGGAAGATGCTTATTAAATTATTAGAACTAATCCCTTACGGTAGGTAGGTATTTCGGCTCAGCTGTCGGTGGCAAGGCAGAGCTGTACGTCATTGGATGACACAATGTAGACAAGCTTCTACGACTTGCGGGACATGGTTGGGAATTTCGACATTGGCATGGCAAATGACAAGACGACGTCTCATTAAATTAGGAATTTGTTTTAATATATACGCAACACAATTCCTTAAAGTGTATTTACCACAAATCACGAACAAATACATTTCATAACTGGCAATCTCAGTATTAAATACTCGACTTAAAATTCCATTTCGTGCTTAACAACCTCGTCCTTTACATAAAATGCTTTGAAAACATTTTCTCACATCGATTAAAATTTTAATGCTATATAAGGTACTCTTTATACCACATAAAACGGGGTGTGATCAGAACGGGCCAATGCAATATAATACTATATTTTATAGTTATGTATTGCCATAACGGTGAATGGACCACCCATACGGGTGATTACACAGGGCTACGCCCCTCGCCCGCTCTCCAATTTGAACTAAATAAGTGTTGCATCTCATTCTTGACGCCTCGCTGGGGCATTTTGGGCACCTACATAATTCTACCCTGGACGCGCCCAGCGCAAACTGAACCCTTATTTTCTCAACTACCAGACAAAAAGAGGAAATTCCAAAGCTCTTATTAGATTGGATATTAATACCACCATCACAGTTTGTGGTCGTTAAGTCAAAATAGAAAAATAGAGTACGTGTCACATTGTTTTATGATTGAAGATAACAACTGGTTGTTACCTATAATATTCTTTTGATGATTGAGTCATTAGGATGTTTTTTCACTCCATTGTTGTTTGTCGGTTTGTCAAAGTTGTTTTGTGTCCTTTTAGCTTTAATTGGATGGTTTTGGAAAGACGTGTCGTTGTAAATTATGCACCCTCGTGGTGTACGATCAAACTGACGTTGTGCAAAGTGTTTCTAATGACATAAATTGAAGAGATCTGACGTCGAGACGGCCTGTTGAATAAGTCATTGAAAAGATCAAAGGGAAAAAGAGGCTTAAGATAAAATTTTCCTTTTTTCCAAGTTCACATTATGTATTTTATTTTACAATCAATGTGCACATGTACATAAGAGTGTCTACATATTTGTTTGATTTTTGTCGATAGTTACATCTGTTAATAATCGATAAATATCAAGGTTAAAATCGACCATATTGCAGTAGCAGTTAGAGCTCCTTGTGAAACAGTCCATCGTGAGTATTACAGCGTTTCGGTTTTGAAGGGTATAAGGGTGCTGATGAAATTACCGTCACACGGGACTTTTATCAGGGTGACGGGCGCAGTGGTAAATTCAGATATTTGCGATTTAAAGCTCTGAGCGGCACTGCAACTGTTATGGACAGGCGTGTCGCTTACCACCAGGCGCATGACTTGTTCGTCCCTACAATTGATATCTTAAAAAAAGTCTATTATCATCTACTCACCAGTCTCCCGGCGTTGTTATTATGAACATTGATCTTTGACTGTAAATCCTGGTCTTCCTCTCTTACGTCCAGAAACTTCTTGGAGAATTCGATGCCATATGGCAGGTTATGAGAACATCCGCTCCATTGCCATTTCTCGTCATGCGATGAGCGGTATCTTCGAGGGTCGCAATTGCAGGAGAGCAGGTGACCTTGTGCGCAGGCGCGCGCGATTGAGTGTGCGACGCCGGCTGCTGTTAGCGCGTAGAGGAATGATGTTTCCCGAAACCCTGAAAGCAAAGAAATATATTAAGACAATTATTGTATTTGTTTATGTCCTTGTTACATACTTACTTCTAATTAGTACAGATTGTCGTGCCCAATGCACTCATGATTTGTAAAAGTACCTACACAAAAAAAATGCAGTTATAGTCTGTTTCCAAGAGTTTATTATCTTTATGACTGATATTTCAACAAAGATATTATAAAAAGTATAAAAAAATTATTATTCGTCAGTTTCTCTCAGAGCAAATCCATAAATAAATGGCCGCCGAAGACTAGCACACTCATACGCATAAAAATTACACACCTGCGTGTGTTGGCAGAAAAAGAAACTGACAGCGGAGGCATAAAAACTGGAAGCGCTAAGCGGGCGTGGTTCTACTTTACGACTGATATTAAAAGATCTCACAAACTTCCACAAATGGTACAACGTCAAGCTCTTGTTATGTTTGCCAAATGGTGGCACCCCATAGAGCGTAGAAAATACCACAGGCGATTATAAGTGGCTGAATACATCGACGGTTACAGCACTGAAAAGGAAAGAGCTTATACCACTAATGTAATTTAATATTTTATCGCATGGCTAATTTATTTTTTCTCCCTGCGAGTGATCCCCTGCTGTTATAACGATGTATGGGTACTCATTAGTGAGATAGAGCTGCAGGATTTGGAATCGTTAATTGCAATGGTACTATTTATGGGATAGAATAATTAGTTTTCTGTATTTTTGTGTCACTGTGTTACAATGTTGAATTTTTGAATAAATTTATTTATTTTTTACAAAATGGCAGAGTTGCGGTTGTGCCTATAACTGGCTATTCGTTTTTTTCTTTAATGAGGCTCGGATGTGTCATGTCAAGACCACGTTTCGAGTCTGATGTCTATTACCTCATCTAGTTTTTCTAATTCTTTGCTGCGTTTATATCTGGTTCTTTATTTCCCTTATTCGGTGTGTGGTCGGTCGACACGGAAGGCTGTACATTCCTTCACACCGGTCTTCAATAGACGCCTACGGAATGAGTTTTCCGCACTGTAAATGTTATTTCATTGTTTTCGCTCTTTGTTTGAAATAGATTACCTTTCTCAAGCAAAATTTGTATTCTGTAATCTCTTTTGAAGAGTGTGTGAAATTCTGAATAGATCGGAAATGAATTCCTTATTTTCGGATCTAATACGCGTATATTTGTTTCTTTCATACAAACCAGCATACGATTTAGTTTCGAAAAAATAGGTCCATTTCCAATGTGTGACAATCGAGTAAACCTGAGAAGTCGATCTGAACTAATTTGTTATATTAATGTTTCAGATATATTTCAGTGTTGTATACGCCTAGTTAATATGTCAATATAAAGTCACTTCTTGGGTGTCATGTTAAAGTGATTATATTTTTTTCTGTTTTCAACATAAAATGCGACCAGTTACCTCGGGGCGTGAGCACGTATTTCAATGGATACATAATGCAACAAAGTTTCAAAAATACGCCCATAGTCCCCCGTATCATCAGACGCCATCCATTACTATTTCACTGAGTGTTTATCGAAATTACACTAATCTCGGAGCAGCAAGAGAAGATGAGCATTCCGATGGTATCGAGCCCGGTATCTGTCATACATAAACTAGTGAGGGCATTCAAGTCCACTGAATCGATTTATAGGAACGCGGAACGCTCGCGACGACCATTTATCTATTTTATTGCAATAAATTAAATACTGAATCCATTGCCGAGATGCGAAGATAAGCTATTGGGACCGCACAATGTAATCTTTTTACCATAAATAGTATGATGGGCGATTTGCATTTGAGTTAGGTTGGGTACTCGGTAGCTTAGTTAATTGTGTTCAGTTGTAACTCTGAGGGTTAATAATGTGCTATTCTCGCTATTTCATTGTGTTAACCTGAATAGGCTGCGGCGTTGTTGCGATTTCAAGAGTCATCTCCCTTTAATGGGCAATTAAGCGGCACTAGGGCTGCACACCTGCTCATCTGGCTAGTGATTCTCGGCTTTTACAGCACTCTTATTAATTTGTAACTGACGGTTCCGATTCGCTTCATTCAGCGATTTGCATTTAATGATTGCTGGATTGCTCTATTAAGTGCTCCTACGCGGGCATATAACTCAATTTCTAATTTGTACGTTGATTTCAAACGTTTTAAAACATTTGATGGTGTTAACATCTACTTTTCCTGGACGCAGAAGCCCAGTGGGAAAACGGTAGCTTTCAATTGAGTTGGTTGGTTGACGGCTCGTAATTACTAAAGATTTTAATTTCTAAATTACTTGCATTTGTGAATCTTTAGTAGCAAGACCTAACGGTGAATGGATAACAACGTGAAGAAACCTGTGAATCGGGGACGGTTCATAACACTTGAAAAACATATGAAGGCCCCCAACCCATATTGATCCAGCTTGGCGGACTTTTTTTTGATGCCAAGTGTCGGGACAAACAAGTCGTGCGCCTGATGACAAGCGACACGCCTGTCCGTAACAGTTACAAAGATTTGAAACTGTCACTGCGCTCGTCACCCTGAGACAAGTTCTATGTGCCTGTAATTTCACCAGTACTTTTACTCACATTACTGTTTGGCAGCAAAAATAGGTAAGGTGAAAGTAATTCTCTGGACGAACTCTTTTACTCCTACTATAGCCTGAACCCTGTTCTCAGGGATATCTTTGTCTAGCATTGGGATCTATAATTTATTACGTCGATGATGGTGATGGGGAAAAATGAGAATGGTTTATTTACCTAATTGGCATAAAGAAATTACCGTCAAGTTGGGTAATTTTGAATTTCCTTGTAAAAACTTGTAGTCCATTGATATCAGTGTGAAAAGGAATAACCAAATATCTTAGATGTAAAATGTAACATAACATCGACAGTTATAAAAAAATAATTGAAAGTTACGTACTGTGTGCTTTGTTTTAGATAAACCCGCTTCGAGTCTCACAGACAGCAGTAATGGTCAAAATTATATTTGAAAATAAATCCACTCCTGCCGTGTAGAGGCTACCTACGTCACATTGGCGGAATTGTGAAAGACACAGAACAAGTCACTAATAAACAAAGGAGAAGAAGAAGATGAAAGTGACGCGCCATTTTCTGTTCTCAGTGTTCAACAAGTGAAAAGGGTGCTTCAGTTCCATTTTGGACATGTTAGTAGCTGCTAATTTATACCCAAATGAATGTTACATTGTTCATTATAATAAGTTTAAGAAAAAACTTACTTATAAATAATTAACTTTATTGAATTTCAGGATGTTTCACCAAATCAAAAAAACCAAAAACCTTGCAACAATTACTTGCCATAGCTTCTGGCACGGGTTGCTAGAAGACGTTGGTACAAATCCAGCTGGATCGAAAGAATTTTTCTAAGTGTTCGATCTTTGTATTAGTAATTATAATAAACTTACTTAGTTATATCGCCAAAATAAGTAACTTAAGTTTTGGTGTAAGTATTGATCAAGGTTTAGCAAATAGAAAAGGTGTCTAAATATCTTCGTCAGTTTGCATATCTCATGAGTCAAAATCAGAAAGTCTCGATACAAAATGGAATCGTATAAATTAATCAAAATAATTCATCAACCGATCAGATATCAATCTTAGTGGCCCTCATCCAGCCATCGCCTAATTGACAACAGAGATACGTCAATTGGGGTAATGGTATTTTCATTCTGTACAATGAACCAGCTCTGTAAAAAAACGTCGACGAAGCAGCAAGAATGTACAGAGGCGTTTTAAACGTATAAAGTGAAAAAGACGTAGTTTGATCGCAAAGGAAATTGGTTTCTAGACTAATTCAACTATTTTTTAAAATGATTATGAAATCAATCAAAAAAAGTGCCCGGAGCCAGCCGCTGCCAGCCACCTTCCTCAGGTCATCCATTCATCGTACCGCATGGCGTCTTATAGTACATTTACCTTGACGTGGTCGCCACTCCAGAACAAGTCTGCTCCATCGGCCACCAGCCCTTTTGCAGATTTATCCGGCCCATTGCCACATAAGCTGACTGATTTTGTGAGCTATGTCGGTCTTTTTAGTTCTCTGACATATGATTTTATTTAAAATTCGGTCATCTACGGAAAAAATTTATTTCAATGGATTCTCTACCGTGTTTTGTAATTAGCAAATTTTAGAAAAAGCCTCCTATTAACAATTATTTTTTATGTTACCAAGTGACAGGACGAGCAAGTCGCGCGCCTGGTGTTAAGCGACACGCCTATCCATAGCAGTTGCAGTGCCACTTAGAGCTTTATCTGAGTGACGCTGCTACTGGGCCTGTCATCCTGAGACATAAGTTGTCAAGTCGCATAATGTGCGTGTAATTTCATCAGCACCCTTCAAAACCGAAACACAGTAGAGCTCACATTATTACTTGGTGGCAGAAATTAGTAAGATATCAGTACTTCTCTGGACGAATTCTTTCACAAGGAGCTCTACTGCTACTAAAATTTTATTCATTCATTTTACAGTCAGAGAGTATACTTCTAAAAGGCATATGTTTAAATATCGTGCAATTAAGTAATTTGAGGTGCACCTTTCCTTGTCTACTCGTACCTGACACTGTTCAAAACCTACGCAACCTCGATAACATTTCGCCTTAAGTGTTAACTTTCATGTTAACTGTGTAGCCTAGCCTTAGCGAAATGATTTATTGTATGAAATGTTAAAAGAAGAAAAGAAAAGGCCCAAAAGAGCCCATTTTTAAAAGCAATCGACGTGAAATTTAACAGAATGAAGTTGATTTGTCATTTACGTGATATGATATGTCCTTTCGTTTCATGAATTTTGATAGTGGTGACGATGGATAGAATAAACGTAAAAATAGTGAAGGAAAACGAATTCGAGAACAATACAAAATTTTAAAAACAACTGTCCACAAAACAGAATGATAAGGAGGAGGAATAACGATGAAGGAGGTCAGCATCGCCACATACGTATTGGTTGAAATTGCTTATCAGATAAATGGTTCAGTTAAATTTGCGCAGGTTAGGCGCTAACAGATTGAATG